CGTGGCCGTGGCCTTGACACCAACGTTTCCTAGAGGAGACCTGGGAAATACTTCTAATTCCTAAGAAACTGAGCTTTCTGTTGCTTCTGTTAAAAGAAGTGCTCCTAGGGGAGGTGGTCAGGGTGGGCCTGACCTTTCCTCCGTCCCCCCCCGAACTCTGCAGCGCGTCTCACTCGGTCGTGGTTGGGCAGGTCCAGGTGATGAGCTGACTCTTCAAAGCAAAGCCAGCACAAGCAGGGCTGCCTCCTGTGGAATAAACTGGATATTTTTTCCTTTTTTTTTTTTTGGTACTCTGCAGTTCCATTTTTGTCTAAAATGATATTTCCAGTGAGAACCATTCCCCCAGCACCCTTGGAGGAGAGAATCAAAAGCACGGCAGCTGCTGGGTGGAAGAGGTGAGATGGTTTTATTCCTTTGTCATGAGAAGCCCACCTGCTCTGTCTTCAACTACTGATTTATTTTGCAGTCTTATCAGCCCTCCTGTTAACTGCAGGCCTTCTCATCCCACAGCCACCACGACTTGGCCCTGATTTTAAGGAGGTTTTTCTTCTTTTAAGGAGGTTTTTCTTCTTTTCCTCTTTTTCCAATGGCTCCTCTACCTTTGGAAGGAATTGGGTGGATGTGAAGCCATCACGGGGAAGGGGTTAAGTGAAGATCACCTTTGCAGAAGGTGTCTTGCCAGCATTCCTTGCCCAGAGCCTGCTCACCAAAACCTTTTGGTTCTTTATTTTTTTCCAAGTAGACACACAGGGATAATAACGAGCGAGAAGGCGTAGATCCTACCGGATACTCATGGAGGCTGTATCTCCCCATTTAGAATTAATTATACAATTGTACATCTATAAATAAATGTTTATAACGTGAAAAGGCTCCAGCTGTGTTGATGTCCTGCAGATCCTTGCCACAGCCAGCTCCTGTTTTGCAGCTCCTTCACGCCGCCTTCCCCGCATCCACGTGGCCGCTGGGTAAGTGGAGTTTAGCATCTTTGCCATCCTGGCAAGTCCCAGAGACTGGGAGCTCTGGTACTGTGGGGGAGGGAAGGATGGGAAGATGATGTGGTGCCTCCCCTGAGTGAGTCTCTGTGGGTCCTGACGAGGTGACAGCAGACATTCAGCA